GTCAGCAGAAGGACATTTGGTAAGCACGATAGTAAAGAGCAGGTACAGAGAAGAGCTGCAGCCTTTGTTTTCTCTGGTCCTCCTCTTTTATCAGGTGTACCACGTAGGAGTTGGTTTCCCTTTGAAAATATTTCCCTTGGACAGCAGGGGAAAGTTTCCTATACATATTTTGATTACAAAATTCTGAACTAAAAACTTCATTGCAAATAGCAGTTTAATTTTATTTTTGGAAATGGGAAAACTGTAGGGGTTTTTCTTGGGTTTTCGGTTGTTTCTTTTTTCGTAGTCATTAATTTTTCTGCAGTCACATGAAAGGAGGCTCTGTGCAATGTGTTGCCTTGTTTAGGTTTTATTTTGGTTTTGAAATATTAAATAGTTGATAAATAGCTGAGAGATGAAGTCGAGAAAAAGATCTTACTTTCTGTTTTTAAGCTTACACCCACTCGTTACAGTTTCTAGAGGGAAACTGAAAGTTCTGTAGGACTGACATTTTAATTTTTGTTTCACATTAGGGTTTAGGGGGACATACAAGATCCATAAGCACTTTTTAAACGGTAAAGTCAAAATGAGAGTGTCTCCCTCTGAAACCTTTAGCTTTTCAGAATGGCCATCTCCATTAGGAAGGCAATCTGGCACTGTTGATTCATGCTGCTTAGGTGGGTGTTAAGATGACCACCCCTAATGAGAACCTGCAGGTCGGAGGTGACAGGGACTATTGCTAACAGGGGAGGAAGGAGGTCTCTCTTACAGCCTGAAGAACCTCTGTGATTACAATGCGGAGAGGGGAAGGCTACTACGACAAAATAAAGTCTAGTTTAAGGATGCTTTTAGAGCCATGCTTATACTAAAAGGGAGAGGAAGGTGCAGAGCTCTGTAGGACCAAAATATTGGAGTATTTTACTACGGTGAGATGCTTAATCAGCTTAATGTGTTAATTAAAATTTGCTGCTTTATTTATCTTAGCTTTTTTCAGTACTTTTTCTAAGGCTGAAATTTTTGTATAGTGCAATAAATTTAAATGCGTGAGGTGAATTAAACCCCGTGGTATCTGAGTGACTTGCTTTTGCCAAAGTTTGGGATGTTTTTATCTGCTACTTGTTTCTCTAAGAACACAAGACAGGAGGAGTTTTATGTAAGAAGGGAAACTTCAGGCACACAGTTTGAGATGTGTATCCTGAGAGCTGAAATTCAGTGGATATTCGGATCAGCTGTGACACACATAAGTTGCTTTGCAGTGTCTATAGTATAAGATACAGCTCTTCCATTGTACTACCTGCATGTAGTCATACTGAGGACTAACAAGCTGCTTTTTCAGAGGTTTATCCCCACATTTTTGCAAGCATAACTTATTTTGTACCTTTGTGAGCACACCCATCCTGACAGCTGTCTTGTACATGGTGCTGTCCCATGGCAGGATTCACAAGCCTCCTGTTCTTTTGTCTTCCCTTCTGTGGCCCCTGAACGCAGGGGCACTAATGGGGGGTTGTCTTTGTACCGTGCAGAAGAGGAACCCAGAAGTCTCTGAAGAAAATCTCTTTCCCATGCTAAGAGCAGGCACATAGAAGTATTAATATCTATTCCTTGTGTTTCGGTTCTTAGACATCTAAGTAAGAGCATTGCCTCAGGAGCGTTTCTCCTGAGCACAGCAAACAGGGTATTCTCACCCTTCTCTTCAAACCCACCCGTTCTCCAGGCGAGGAGTAAGAAGGTGTGGGGCAGGCAGGAAAAGGCAGCGCACAGAAGGAGGGCTTGGCTCCAGATTGCAGCCCAGGCACTTGTAACTCACAGCAGCCTCTGTTCGCTGCAGAGCAGAGAAATGGACCTCCAGCTCTGGCTGGGGTGGAGCTGAGCTGCAGAGCTGCCAGGGCCTGGGCTTCTCCCCCGCCCCAGGCTGTGGAGTACAGTTACTTCACCATCAATAACGATTAGTCACAATCTCCGGTCTAGCCCCATCTTCTTGAGAACTGCTGGGTGCAACTGAGACAGCATCAAAGAGGAAAAGGGCGAGTGCTTCTTTGCAGCCCAGCAAGCTTGCCAGGCGTAGCTTCAGCAGAAGCTTAAAAAAAGTAGAAAGATCCTTGTGTCTGTGAGTGCCCATCTGTGACTCCTCTGTACCCTTCCACACAGCACCTGGGTGAGTTTCTGAGTTAGGAATAGGGAGTGAGGCGCTTAGGAAAAGCCATCTTGGAGTAGAGAGGTGATCCAAGGCAGCCTAAACTCTTGCTGGGACACCTGAGTGAAATCCTTAATACTCGTCTGTCTTCCCCCATCTTTTTCATCTTTTTTTTTTTTTTTTTTTCTTCTTTTCTAATTCAGCAGAAGGTCTCAATAGCAACAGAGTGAGGAAAATAATCTGGGTTGCCCCTGCCCTATACAGTTCTGCTTTCTGGCCAAGAAGCTGAACAGGAGCGGGTGCAGCGCGTTAGGCACAGGAAAGGAGCTGGGTGCATGAGGGAAGCGGGGCCTCGGGCAAGTCAAGCAAATAAGGAAGCAGGAGAGCTGTGCTGAATGCAGCTGCGTCCTCACCAGCTCAAGCTTTCCTGCCTGGGAACGAATGTGGTCAGCAGCCTGGCCTGCTGCGCACAACTGCGGCTGGCCTGTGCCTGTCTGAAACAAAACTCTCATTAGACTGACATCTAGTCCTGCAGGGACCTAGTCCTCCTGCAAACCTGTTGCAGTTTCCTTCAGGTAGTCAGATTTTACATTTTTATATATATATATATACACAGACACACACACAAATATATGTGTGCATAAAAGTATTGCTTTGTTAGGTCTCATACTGACCACAAACCTCATCTAAGCGAGCTCCCTGCTCTGACTGCCTTGCAGCAAGGCCAGGTTTTCATTTCTAGTGCTGCAGAAAAAGTCCTGTTGCGACAGCCTTCCCCCTGCGGACACATGGAGGCTGTGCTCAGCCTGTGGGGCAGGCAAAAGGGTGCTGCAGGGGGGGATGCTGTCCTGGTGCTGGGATACTGTCCCAGTGACCCCACCGGAAGGCACATCCTGATATTACATGCTGGCCCCACAGACGCTCTCTGCTGCAGGATCTGTACTCCCCATGCACGTGCCTCAATCATATGATCTGTAGCCGCTCTGTGAGCAGCATAACCAATTCAGAATGGTTTTCTCTGGCATGCTGCCCCATTTTTCTAGTTGCCCCCCCCCAACATAACAAATGCATCCCCACGTAATATCCTACTGTAATATCCGCCTGTCTCTCATGCTACCAGCAGCAAAGGGAAAGAACGGCTCCGTTGTCTTCTCAGTGTGAGGATTGTGTCTTATTTATCAATCTTCTTCTGCCCGTAGAAACTTACAGTTCAGATCACTTCTCCTGTCTCAAATATGGCTGAAGGGGAGGTAAAAAAAGTTTACTGGTCTGACAGATCACATAAAACTTGCTTCCTTAAAAAACCTGGCTTGAAAATACATCCAGTTTCATCTTCCCTTCAAAAAATGTATTCAGGATTCAGGAGAGATTAAAATGAACATATATAGCAGGCATAAATCTGAAAGTGGCAGCAGGTGGCTGGAAAGCTGCAGGGAGGAGGGGAGAGCAAGAATGCCTGATCAGAAGCCACAGCACGGGCAAGTCTGCACAAAGCCAGTGTTGCTGGGTGGTTTAGCTGCAGCTGCCTTTGTCTTCAAAGAGCTGCTGCCAGCTGAGAGGGACACTGCTCGACCACCTTGAACTCTGTGTTTCCCGTCACAAATGTGGAGGACAAGAGAAATCCACCCATTTCTTTCGCTGCTTTGTTTCTGTTTCATGCATTAGCAGATCTCTCCACCCTATCCATTTCCAGTTTGCTGTCTCGGGGTCAAGCCAAGCGCCTGTGTGTGGTGTTTGTGCCTCTTCCATTAGTCAGTGAGTGACACAGGTTTAGTCTGCCAGGGGGGCTGTGTTGCTGCCTTCTTCCTTCACCTCTCCTGCAGGAGCGTGGGTTTGATGTGTGACAGCAGCTTGCGGGAATGTACTTCAGAGGCCAGCATGAAAACAAAGAGACTGGGGCTTTTGTTAAATGAGGTCTCTTGAGTTTCAGTTTGGTTTAGTCCCTTAAGCTCAACACCAGACCGAAGAGAAAAAGCTACTAGCAAATTTCAAAGAGAGAGGGTGTCTGAGTATATGCGTAAAGGGAGATACTTGGTAGCGAAGGTGTTTCTCCGAAGAATGTGTACCCCCAGAAATGCCTTGTAAAAAGTCAGTGAGACATCCCAGGGCAGAAGTCCATCCCAAGCAGTGTCCCCAAGCAGGGGATTGGTGCTGTCTTTCTGCAGCAGCTGTCACATTCCGCCATGCCTTCAGCTTGCAGAAATTGTGTCATGTGAGCCTTGGCCCGGGGCAATGCGCTCGTATGCCCTCCGGGCGCAGCACAGGCGAAGGTCAGCTGGCACCTCCTTTTCCAAACACAGACTTGCTCACTGCAGCTTGGTTCTGCCATGTTGGAGAGCAGTCCTACTCCTTTGTCTCTGATGGGAGTGACCTTTGCCGTCTGGTCGAGAAGAAAGAAAAAATGACAGCTGTGTGGCCCCACAAGCTGTAGGGCACTGCCCAGTAGCTAGACTGCTGCAGGAGTCAACGGAGATACAAACTCAACCCAGAAGTTTGGGCTGAGATGGGGACACTTGAACCTGGCTGAAGGCATTTTCTTTATAACTAGGCTCACACAAAAACTGCATTTGAGACATTATACATACAAAACTTGGAGCCAGGAGAGGGTCTCTTTCACAGAGAGCACATTAATGACACCTACCTTGTACCTTACACCCAGCGTGACCCTGCTGCCAGGTATAAACTTGCTTCACACCTTGTGCTCAGAGGCACGCTGGTGTAAGGAGAGAGAGGCAGCTTTACCCGTCGGCACGACTCTGCCTGTTCTGCCTGAGCCTGCCACCCTCCTGTCCTCACAACCACACCACGCAGCTGATGGAGGCAGCTGGGCACCCTTCTGGGACGGGCCCTAGCATCGTGGGGAGCCCACGCTCCCGGGAGGTGGGAAATGCCCAAGCGCTGGCTGGCCTCAGGTGGGGTCAGCGTAGGCGCTCAGGCTCCGAGAGCCCTTGGCCTGGATGCAGAAGGTGAGGGCTGGGGAAGACACCGGACTCTGTGCCTCAGTAAAGAGACTGATAACAACAGACCAGAAGCTGAAAGAACAGTACAGAAATGCTCCTCCCGCCAGTCAAATGCCGCATAAGTTTAAATGCATGTTTAGCTGAGTAAGGAAGGGATTCTGCCTAGGTTGGGAGATGGTTTGTAAATCCTTTGCTGGATTTTCCCGGTAAGGTTGATGTAGGTGAGAAGAGCTGTCGGCCAGCTGGCTGGGGAATAGACAACACAAAACAGTTTGGAAGCAAGCAAGCATGCATCAAGCACTTCCTGAAGATGGGCCTGGTGGCTCTGCCACGTTCAGAGAAGTCTCTGCAACACAGTAGCTTCCAGGGCTGACAAATCCATGATAAAACTGGACTTGCTGGTCAACTGGAAAGCAACTGTCTGTTCCATTTCTGTTTTCTTTGTAAACTCCCCAAACAAGCCATTTCCCACCTTCCTCTGGCTGCTGTTAACCCAGGCTGTGTCACTTTTTTTACAGATTCTCTGTTTTCTGTCAACATGATCTCTAATGATTTCTTTCTGAATAACTTTCTTTTTTATCATCAGCCATCTTGGACTTTTCTGCAAGCCCAAGGATTGCAGGTCTGCTCCTGGCTGTCTTGTTCACTGATGACTTTAGCTTCATCACCTTTTCAGTTCATTTCTTACAGCAGGATGTCCAGAAACAGCTCCCTAAAATTAACAGGTAGGGACAGGGAAGCATGAGGCATCCCATTCCAAATGTAATGAACAATTTATACCCACACTACTCACAAAGAGTCTGGCAAGGAAATAATTCATTAAAGATTTTTTGGTACATGATAGAAAAAGTGTTAGCAATATTTCTTCAGAAAAATATAAACAGGAAAGCAGCACAAAGGTCTCCCCAGTATGGGCTAATTAGCAAATACAATAGAAATATTAGTTAAGAGTCCTTGAAGGGAAGGGCGAAGAGAACCATCAAATCTTCCATGTCTCTGTGTGAGGATCTAGTGCTTAATGGTAGGAAACTAGAAACAAATAAACAGGAAAAAGAGGAAGGAGCTGGCAGGGAAAGTGCGGTGGGGAAAGAACAAGTCACCCAGAGCAAGCACTCTGAGAGGCTCTGATACACATCTTTAACAATAGGAGCAGGAAAATGAGCTTGAAGAGGACTCCATTTCAAGTAAATCTTGATGAGGATAATTAGCCATCCATCCACTCTCATGAAATGTGGCAAACGGAAAACATTATTGCTTAGTGTAATTTTAATGATACAGAATCACACAGAATCACAGGATGTTAGGGGTTGGAAGGGACCTCTGTGGGTCATCCAGTCCAACTCCCCTGCCAAAGCACATTTTCATTGTTTCATTTTTGTAACTATGCTCCTTCATTGCCCATCAGTGTTTATAAATTAACATGCTCTTTTTTTCATCCTTATGTTTAGACCAGTTACAAAGCAAACTCTGAGTAATCTGAGATGGGAGAGGCGACTTGGTGGCACAGGGGCTTCCTCCACTGACGGCCAATAGCAAAGAACACAGTATTATGGGAAGACTGGTCAAAACCAAAGAATGAGTTTTTACTAATGCAGCTCCCGTTTTGCAGGCCACTGGATTAGCTTTGGTTTTTTGGCATCTCTGCTTCTCTTTTCTTTCTCTGAGTCTCACGGTGCCCTCGTGGCCATTCCCTCCAGCCCCTTTCACTGCGACTTCTCCAGTCATATGGAGGCTGCTACTGCTGCGCGCTGATGAGTGAGGGATACATTACTCCTCAGTGATCTGTCCTGTGCTCCAACCTGATCAGCCTCCGGGCAGATGACTGGAGCAGATCAGCTGGGGTGGAACCTCAGATTTCCTCTGCAATTGCCAGCCACGGCTTATTTCACCATCTCTCTGCAGCAACGGACGATTCTGCGGTTCTCTAGGTAGTTTGCCTTTTCTGCGCAAGAGCAACATTATGATTCGTCTCCCGTTTTCTTCCCACACCCACGCTTGCAGTGTCATTTGCTATTCCTTCCACCAGCATGATTAAAAGAACCAGTCTTTCCCCTGTGCCACAATGTCTAATATCGTTATCAAGTCATCTTGTCTCACAACTACTGCAATTTCATCCTCTCTAGCCTCCGCAGCAACCACTTCACTCGCTGATAGTCAATCCGAAGGAGGCTGCTAGAAAATCTTTCTTTTTTGATCGGCTTCAAGGTTGCAAACACTTGATCATGATCTCAAACCTTGATCTCCTATTACAACATGAAAGACACAGAAATGTTTGAGTGTATCGCACAAAGAAGACGTCTTTGTCAAGCCATTATGCATCAGAGGGATGTTAACATCCGTTACAGATTAAGTATTTACAGATCAGTAGGTTTAGATAATTTTCACTCAGCAGTCCTAAAAAATCCTGGCTGGAGATATTCCTCGCTTGTTGATTTTTAATACAACTTCAGGAACTTAAAATCCAGAAGTCTCAAATGATGTTCGTGTCACCTTGGTACTCGAAAGGGCCATCAGGATAGGGCAGATGAGATAGCCATGGTCCTAGGCAAGCTACTGGAGAAGCTGGTACCAAGTTGAGTCATTAAGGGCTGAATGCAGCACACTACGGGAGTATCATCAGTGCTAGTCAACATGGCTTTGTAGAAAAGAGCTTTTTTAAAAAAAAACAACCCAAATTTTATTTTGTTCTCTGAGGAGCTCACAAATCCGACTGATAAAAGCAATCGTATAGATCCCATCGAGGTCCAAGGGGCTTCACGTAGGGTGTACCAAGTTGAGTCATTAAGGGCTGAATGCAGCACACTACGGGAGTATCATCAGTGCTAGTCAACATGGCTTTGTAGAAAAGAGCTTTTTTAAAAAAAAACAACCCAAATTTTATTTTGTTCTCTGAGGAGCTCACAAATCCGACTGATAAAAGCAATCGTATAGATCCCATCGAGGTCCAAGGGGCTTCACGTAGGGTTTCAATGACATTCTGATTTCAAACC